AGAAGAAGAAGAAGAAGAAGAATGCTGGGCCTTGCAGGTCTCCCAGCGCTCGGATGAACCACCGCGATGTCGGGCTTCCAAACCCATGACACTTAGAGTAACCATTTTAAATTCTTTTGCAAAGACTATAGCGTTTGGGTACAAACGGGTTCCCTCTTTTAGGAATAGCCCATACCCATGCGGAGACCATTTGAGGTCAGAGCCGGTGCGAACCACACCGAGAGCTCCGGTCAAGGATGGGGCTACCATGACTTGGCTTTCTTCTGGCTGGTTGTTAGGACTTTAACTTTTAGGCTCCTTATTGTAGTTTACAACTTTTAGGAGGGGTTCAGATGTCAGCCAAGATGACTTGTCGCAGATATCAGGGTGTCCGAAGAATGCTCCCTGTGGAAGTAAAAAGGGCTGAGAGGTAAGGTTCATATTGCTCGGCAGGCTCTTGGGACATTACATTTTTCCTTACTGGGTTTAAGAGGAACAGAATCGGGGTTTTTTGTCAGAGGGTTTTAAGGGCCACCGTAGATAACTGTTTTTGGTGAGTGTCTGTATGGTTATACGTGTTGCCGATACTGGGCGAGTGTGTATCTAGTAGACTTCCGAACCTAACCCGACCCTTTGCAAGAATCACATCCCCCCCCCACCCCCCTAATGCTTAACTTGGTTTGGCCCCCTGGTTCTTAGTAGGTAATGAGGGAATGAGGGCCCTTTCTATACCCTTAAAGGGATTATGTAGGGTACCTACCCTAAACACTAAACCCTAAACCCTAAACCCTAAACCTCATTCCCTCATTCCCTAGACGTGCTCGCAGGAGTCCCGGAAACGCCGGGCAACCGCACACGGAGAGGAGCAGGAGACCTTGGAGCGTTTTAGGGTTTAGGGTTTAGGGTTTAGGGCTGGTACTTAGTAGGGAATGATGGAATGAGGTACCCTATCAATCCGATTCCCTACTGAGAGCCAGGGGGGTTGTTGAACGGCAAGTCCTTGACAACTCCTCTTGGTTAAGACTAGGTCGGCCCTTGGGAGCTTCTCGTTTTTGGGGTGTAAACGTGTCCAGTTTAAGAGTCACTGCTTAGAACTAGACGAGAGCTGAGCTGGCGTCTAGCGCAAAAAAATTTAGAGAACGGATCATGTGGTAAAGGTGCTTCCGGTCACCGCTGTCCTACTATGTTCCTCGCCCTAAGCAGGCATTCATATTCCAGTGTTGCGCAGACTTGCGTATGCGGGCGGAGAGCTGGTTTGTCAAAAACTTGCCCCGCGTCACAGGACAGCAACTCTGCTCAACTGGCGGCAAGACATCCCGGCTGGTTTGGCTCAACGAGTCCAAGAGAAGTTGGAATTCATCTCCCAACGAAGCTCCAAAGTCAGGCAAATCTACGCTTCAGCCCTTTATAGCTTCCAATGATGTCTCAGTTGCGTCACAAAAAAAACGAAGGAACGCTAAAACGTACATGTTTCATCCGGGTTCTAAGAGTCTAATGGTTTGCCGCGCGCGTTTCTACGGACATCGGGTGCCTAAATCGGAAGAAACCGCTTCAGCTAGGAACCGTTTGCGAAGACCCAAAACCCCAGGTACCAAATTTCGCGCCCCCAAACCCCAAACCCCAAACTCCAATCTCCAAACCCCAAACCCCAACCCCCAAACCCCAAACCCCAAACCCCAAACCCCAAACCCCAAACCCCAAACCCCAAACCCCAAACCCCAAACCCCAAACCCCAAACCCTAAACCCTAAACCCTAAACCCTAAACCCTAAACCCTAAACCCATCCTAAAATCTTCTCAGATGACTGCCAGGCCTCTCGCAGCTTCAGCTCGAGGAGCCGCCAACGAAACGCGCCAAGGAGTGATGGTTTAGGGTTTAGGGTTTAGGGTTTGGGGTTTGGGTTTAGGGTTTAGGGTTTAGGGTTTAGGGCCTGGGGTTTCGGTTTAGGGTTTAGGGTTTAGGGTTTAGGGCCTGGGGTTTCGGTTTAGGGTTTAGGGTTTAGGGTTTAGGGTTTAGGGTTTAGGGTTTAGGGTTTAGGGTTTAGGGTTTAGGGTTTAGGGTTTAGGGTTTAGGGTTTAGGGTTTAGGGTTTAGGGTTTAGGGTTTAGGGTTTAGGGTTTAGGGTTTAGGGTTTAGGGGTTTAGGGTTTTGGAGATATGTTCCTTTGTTCTTTGGTTGTTGTTGCTTTTTGCATTTTTTGGGTGGAGGGAGTGGCGGTTGGTTGGTTGGTTGGTTGGTTGGTTGGTTGGTTCGTTGGTGGGTTGGTTGGTTGGTTGGTTGGTTGGTTGGTTGGTTGGTTGGTTGGTTGGTTGGTTGGTTGGTTGGTGTGTGTGTGTGTGTTCTAATTGGGTAACCTTTTGCAGGGCTGCAAGGGCTTTTCGCTCTGAAGGCTCGCAAGACCCTTGAATAGTAGGAACATTGGCTAGGGAGGGAGGAGTTCGAACAAGGTATTCAGTCGACTCCGGTGCCGCCTCTTTGCAGTAGGAGCATTCATCAAGGAACCTGCTAATGAGACCCAAATCTTCCAAATCCCCCAAGCCTTAAATAAATAAATAAATATATATATATATATATACCGTGACCTGAAAGCGTTAAACCCTAAACTTAAACCCTGAACCCTTCCCAGCCTCTTGTGGTCCATGAGCGAAAGCACCCCTCGATCGTGAAAGCCGGGTTCACTTTCAGTGGAATCTTCTGGCAGGCCAAGAGCACCAGGAAGAGCCCTGAACCCTAAACCCTAAACCTTAAACCCTGAACCCTAAACCCCAAATCCACTTTGAAGCAGGTTTGAGCTCGTTTCAGGTGTGCGCCGGTTCGATGGTGTCAGGATTTCTTCAAAAGCCGGAAGCGGGAAGCTGGCCGGGACGCTGTGGCCATTGCTGTAACCCCAGTGCTCATTGCCGCCTCAGACTCAGAGCCTCGGATATCAAAGCCTTGCCCATCCGATTTGGCCCAGGCATCCCACCTACCCGGCTCTTTCCTGGCCTCTGCTTGGGTCCATCAAGCTGGTTCATGCTGGCTTTTCTGCGGTTCCGGCTTGCGATGAATCTCGTCTGTCGGTGCTTCCCTAGGTTCTTCCTGGCCGCCACCCGGATGTACAGGTGGCTCTTGGCATCTGCTCACCGCCTTGCCACGGCTGTATTTGTGCCATACCGAGCTCCTGCTGTCTCAGACCCGACGCTGCCAACTATGTCTCCTGCACAGGGCCCTCTTGGCCTTTTGGTCCGTCAGAAGGAAATTCTTGCCCTAAGCCCCACCATATTGTAAACCTCTGTCGCCTGTGATGTCGTCACAGTGGGTGGGAGATATTCTGAGTAGCTGAGTGAGTACACTTTAGAGTTGGCGCCAGGTTGCGCCATCTTTGCGTGAAACTTCGGCCGTAAGATGACGACGCCCCTAAACCCTGAACCCTGAACCCTAAACCCTAAACCCTGAACCCTGAACCCTGAACCCTAAACCCTAAAACCTAAACCCTGAACCCTGAACCCTGAACCCTGAACCCTGAACCCTGAACCCTAAACCCTAAACCCTAAACCCTAAACCCTAAACCCTACCCCAAGCCCTTGCAAGTCAGGCAGTTGTGGAGGAGCCGGTTCCGCAGACGCCGCCCTGCAAGCCGCGCAGTGCCGGGGTCCCCGATTTGGGGTTTAGGGTTTTGGGTTTTGGGTTTTGGGTTTAGGGCTAGGGTTTAGGGTTTGGTTTATGGCACTCATGGAAGGAATCTAGAGGGAGCTTGGCTTTCAAGTTGCATTATTGTTCTAGTCAAGGGACGAAAGGAGGGACCCTTATATTTAGGGGCTATTTAGGGGCCGCTAAGGGATATAGGGGCTCTACAAGGCACAAGGTATATAAAGGGGTTAATCGGGAATAAGATTAAAGGTCCCCTCTGAAAGTCCCTCCTTTTTCCCCTTAATCTAGGGAGTTTGGGGGGTTCCTCGCTTCTACGTTTTTTTTTTTTTCAGGAATTGGGGGGGGGGGGGGGAGGGACCGAGGCTTCGGAGAGAAAGGCTTTTTTGTTTCGAGGGCCGTTTCGGTCAGCAGGCCTTTAGGGTTTAAGTTTAGGGTTTCGGGTTTAGGGTTCAGGGGGTTAGGGGGTTCAGGGGGTTTAGGGGGTTCAGGGGGTTCAGGGGGTTTAGGGGGTTTAGGTTTAGGGGGTTTTAGGGGTTTAGGGGGTTCCTGCCACCACCCTCTACCTGCCAACAACGCGCTCGAATGGCTTGGTCTCAGTCCCCTAGAACGGGTTTCGCCATCGGCGACACTCGCTGCCATGAAAGTACAGTTGCAAACAGCATAAGAAAAAGCGGGGCCAGCATAAGAGAAAGCATAGCTGCCCTATGTTTGGGGGCAGGTCTCTAGCCACCTGGAGAACCAGGTACAAGAAACCCTGAACCAACCCTAACCCCCCCACGCACCCTACACCCTCAAACTCCCGAGTGGATTGGTTCAGGTAGTGTTCAGGTCTTGATTTCAGATGTGGGGGGCGGGGGGGCGGGGGGGGGGGGGGCGTTGGGCCTTCGGGGGGTAGGGGCCTTGAGAACGGAGAGAACTCCAACGCAGTCAGGCGGATGCTTGTTGAAGTTTCAAGTCTTCGCTCTGTTGCCTGCCAGGTGAATGTCACCATAAAGCGGACTCCTGCCGGCCCAAAATTGGCCCCCCAAGCCCGTAAACTCTTTGAAACTCGTGAATCCTATCCTGAACCCTTGGATTGGCAACGGCTGTGCTCCCAGAAGTCCGGCAAGTACATGGTTGGAATATCACATCCGAACAGCTTCCTTGCGAAATCAGACAAGCTCTTGAGAGCTACCGGCAGCACACTTGCATAGTCACCCGATGCCCTGCACACTTAAGCTGGCCGTTTGTGCGGTGAAGGGGGGTGGGGTGGGGTTGGTCCGGTGGTTTGGCGAGTAGGTTCTTGGTCTTGTGCATCCCCATTGTCTACTGCAGTCTCTGGTTCGAGCCATCGTACCATCACTTGATTTGTCTTTTTTCTGAGTGTGTCTTGGCTGACTGGCGGCTGGTGCAATGAGTTTTCTGCACGGCGGATGCTTTCTTCACGGCAGGTGGAAGGACTTGGAGAGCAGCAACATCTACATTGTCACGAACCCTGATTCAGACAATCCGTATATAAAGCTCTTGACCATCGTGAACAATCCTGCAAAGGATGACCGACGGGACTTTGAGATCCGAAGAGTAAGCAACGGAAGTGTACAAATGGTTCCCATGATGCACAAAGACACGCTTGGGAAGGAGACCACCTATGACCTTTACATTGACCAATCCGTTCCAGGTCGAATCATTTGGTACAGTCCCACGACAGGCAGACAGCGCACCTGGCAATTCATGCTGCAGGAGTGGAACACGACGTTGGTCCAGCTGACGGGGGAAGTTGAAGGCGATGTCCTTCAGCTGGCCATGTGGAAGCTCACAGGCGAAGAGATTTCGAAGGTTTTCATGCATCGAAACACAAGCTGGCGGGATGCCAGGAGGTTGATGGTGCCCGGCCTCCGCCCGCTCCTCTCAAAAAAGTTAGCATTCGTGTCACCCCTGGGAGAAGTTCTAGCACCGACGCACAACGAGAGGCCCCTCAGTGAACTTCTGGGATGTGCGCGTGGTGAGCTAGAGCCAGACGAAGCGTGGAGGCGATTCCAGTAGCCACCAGTTGTGCTTCACTAGGGGTCGCTGCTTGTCAGCGTCCCTTGCAGCATTTGCTTACCAGTATGGGCTCGTCTACCCTGTAACCCCTTTAAAAAGGCCCTTTTTATAGGGTTGATTATGGGGATGAACAAACCCTAAACCCTAAACCCTAAACCCTAAATACATTATAAGGCCTAAGAGCCCATCCTGGCAAGGGAGAACCGGGTGCCAAGAGCTCGGCTTCATGTCCAGGGCCCAAGTCAGGGATCGTCAGCAGAGCTGCACAGGTGCCGCCTCTCACAAGTCATTCGTGGCACGTTTCGCTGAAGCTCCCGATTCCCCCTAAACCCTTCCGCCTAAACCCTGAACCCTAAACCCTGAACCCTGAACCCTGAACCTGACGCAGTAGTCGGCGTTGCGATGGTTCCGCACAAGCGAGCTTCGGCCAGTTGCTTATCGGCACGAGCAGACAGCTGCTCTAAAGAGGCAGTGAAGCACGTTCCCCCGCGGCAGTTGCACGTTCGCTAGCCCATACTTTTTTCAGGCCTGTTGACTACGCGCGACGACAAAAGTAGTCAGTGTTGACTGCTCTCAGTTGTGCGAAAAACACCAAGCTGTACCACAGTCTTGTAATACCTGCGGGCGCTGCTCAACGCTATTGCTGTAGTCGACCTGTTACACTTGAATCCTGCATCCTTCCAGACTGAAGAGTTTATGCGCCTTCGTTGTATTCGAGCATTCCTTCGAGTAGCACACACACTTTGCCTGCGGGAAGACGCGGTGGTTGGCTGTGCGAGACCTGAGTTGCACATGTCATGAGTTGATAGGGCATGGAACGCAGAAGCTTGGCCCTAAACCTTGCCATCTCATTGCAAGTCATGGCCGACCGGAGCGATTTAATTTCAGGAGGACCTTGGTAATTAGGTTTTGATCGGCGTGGCCTTGGTGGCCGGTAGACGCACCTGCAGATTCTAGGGTATGTAAGGCTTAGGGGGACACCTGCAAGACATAGCGTGTCTATGTGTAGAGGGATTCGAAGATGTTTGCCGAAAAGATTGAGGCACTGAGTGTTTCCGTGGTAGTGCCAGCGGGCTGTAAGCCTTTCGTCCTTGCTCGCAGACTGCTGCACTGATATGACATATGGCAGAAAAAAAAGAAGTGCGGCAGTTCCATCTGACCTCGGTAGCGCGCCACCGACAGAGCAAGTCGCAACTTCATCCTTTTCAATACCAGCAGAACTACTGTAACTATTGTTCTTCTTACTATCACTATGCGCACTGGGGCGACTGAAGCTTTGCGAATGTGCCCATTCTTGCTCTTCTTTTGAGTTGCCACGACTATCAGTTTCTTCGAATGCCATCAGTAGCCTTATGGCCATTTTAGTACTATGGCTTGTTACTCTTCTTACTATGAGGTACGGTTGCAGTTATGGCCATGTTAGTACTATGGCGAGCTACTCTTCTTGCTATGACCCTGCGGGTCCATGTACCTAAATAGCAACACTTCGGCCTTCAAGTACTCGCCTTTCTCGGGAATTTGGGGGCCCAAGCATAGAGCAATGAGGTGCATATGGACCCTTACGGTTGAGGTATGGTTGCAGCTGAAGTGCTGCTATTGTTTGTGTGTGCTACTGCGGCTCCAAGCGGGGCCCCAAACCCTGCGCATGATTCTTTGGCAGCAAGGGAGTCCAGGGTCCGGGGTGTTGGGGTTTGGGGTCTTCTAAGGGTAGCTACATGTAGTCTATTACCTCCCCTATAAAGGGTTCTCATGCATGGGCCCTTTAAGTTTGTATGCGGTATATAAAGGGTCTCATAAGGGGTCCAATTTTTACGTACTACGGGGCCATGCAACTGCCCGTCGAGCCATCCATGCAGGCGAAGAAGGGCAACCAGAGCATCCAGAGGCCAGGGGCTTGGACCCGACACGCTACCTCTATATCCCCCTTGGGGATTGTTTTTAATTTTTGTTTGCATGAATCCCAAGGCAATATTAAACATATTATTTTTGATGAAGGTTCTAAGGGGAGTATAGACATATGCGTTGATGCGTATAGTGCTCAACTCTTTTGCACTTGCGTTGCCACGGCGAGCGGCGATGAGTTCGTCATCGGGTCGGCTTGTTTTTGGGGACATGTGTCATGTCGAGACCCTAAACCCTAAACCCTAAACCCTAAACCCTAAACCCTAAACCCTAAACCCCGAGACTCAACATGCCCCTGAGATCTCCAGCTGACGAGCCGTGTCCGACCCTGAGACTTGAGCCAGATTAGGGCTTAAGTTTCCACCATTAGCTTAAGAACCCCCAAAAAACAAAACACAAGAACCCCTATATTCACCTTATAAGGAAGAATATGTGTTTTTTTTTTTTGGGGGGGGGGGTTCTTAAGCAATTGGTAGGTTTTGGGTCTTGCTTAATTTTGGGGCGCAGCTTAGCGAATGACACCTCCGCTCAGGTTGCTTCGGTGCTCAAGTTTCGGCGGTTCCTTCTTCCTCACACTATTCCAAGGTTGAGGGCCCTCATCTACTGCGTCGGCGGTGCTTGACATCACACCATACTTCCTGAAATCCTGAAACTTTGCGATTGTTGTCAGATGATTCGAAGTCCAGTTAGTCCTTGGGGCGCATCAGAGTTCATGTACATCGGCCCTTCGATACCTCGACGCTCGTTGTACACCCGAAACACACTTGACCACCAGCTGGCCCTACACAGTAAGTCTTAAGGTTTTGGCACAGGTCATAGAGTTTAGGATACCCTAAACGCTCAACCCTAAACCCTAAGAAACCCTAAACCCCAAACCCGAAACCCCAAACCCCAAACCCCAAACCCTAAACCCTCAACCCCAAACCCTAAACCCTAAACCCCAAACCCCAAACCCTGAACCCCAAACCCCAAACCCCAAGCCCTGAACCCTAAGCCCTAAAACCCTAAACCATCAACCCCTTAACCCCTTTTTTTTCGGGCCGAAGCTGAGGCTGGAGCCCCCCGCGCACCAGCCCACGCCGAGGTGGGATCTCACACTGACACTTAAGGGATCCCGAGTGTGTTGTAGGGGTTTAGGGTTTAGGGTTTAGGGTTTCGGGTTTAGGGTTTAGGGTTTAGGGTTTAGGGTTTCGGGTTTAGGGTTTAGGGTTTTAGGGTTTAGGGTTTAGGGTTTAGGGCTTAGGGTTTAGGGTTTAGGGATGCGGAACCTGCAGGACCGACCAAAACGCGTTCCTCGAAGAGCAGAAGTGGAGGGAGCATGAAGCTCGTAGCTCAGGAACGGAACCCACCGCAGACCAAACCTGGCAAGCCACTGGCGTTTTAGGGGGTTTAGGGTTTTGGGTTTTTGTTTTGGGCTTTCTTCTAATGGATGCGGGAGGTTTGAGTGGGGAGAGCGTCTATTCGGAGAATTGTGGCTTGGGGGAGGGGACAGATGCACGCGCACCCAAGCGTGTCTTTCATCCGCCTAAGGCACGTGAAGGCATGATACAGTGACCTGAATAAGCAGAATAGAGTTTTGGGGGTCATTGTAGTATGAATACAAAGGGACCAGAGGGGAATACTATTAGCAATTATTCCGACCCCTATATTACGTCCTTCAGACCAAGATGTGAACCTGAGTATGATGACACAGTGGTCCACAGTGGTCCAGTCTTGCTTCAAAAATGTTTAGAAACGGTTGAGGGTTCGGCCTACGAGACCGTACCAGTACATCACCCAGAACACCTCTTGCCCTAAACCATCCTACACCCTAAATTAAAACCCCATACTCTTGAACCCTTAGACCTCAATCCCCAAACCTGACACCCTCAAGCCTGACAACAAAAACACCTAAACCCTAAACCCTACACCCTAAACCCTAACCCCTAAGCCCTAAGCCCTAAACCCTAAACCCAAAGCCCTAAACCCTAAAACTAAACCCTTCCAAGCCCGACAGCCCAAAACATCTACGCAAGATTGCAGCCCTGAAAGCTCTGGGCCCCCCCCTGGCTGATATAGGTAGACCCTAAACCCTAAACCCTCTATCAGGGCCCCTCTCTAGGATCCCTTTCTAAAGGGTGCCGCCTGATAGTACCCAAGAAGGTACTCCCTAATTTACAATAAGGGTCCATGTACCTGATAATTATATACTCGGCCCCCAAAGTCCCCACATAGGAGGCACTTGAAGGCCTTGGGGTTAGGAAACCTGGACCCTAGACCCTCGACCCTAAACCCTAGACCCCAAACCCGAGTTAGAAGGCTCACGGTCGTTGCTCAGCCCGCTTTAAACGTATGGTTCAGGGGTGGGGATGCTAGGGCCCCGAATAAGGTCCCTTAACCCTGTAAACCCTATAAGTCCTAAGTAAGCTCCAAAAAAATTGTAAACTCCTAAACGAAACCTCTCATTAAACCTTATTGTACAACCCTATAAGTCCCAAATAAACTCCAATTAAACCTTGTAAGCCCTAAATAAAACCTCTAAACCTTATGTTATAACCGGCTGCCAGATCCCAAAACGAAATCTCCCCCCAAAACCCCAACAGCCGACCAAGCCCGAACAGGAAACCCTGAAGACCCGACTCCTGCCCTGTGCTTTTCTTGAAAACGAACCTTCCCTGCAAGCGTTTAGGGTTTAGGGTTTAGGGCTTAAGATTTAGGGTTTAGGGTTTAGGGTGTAGGGCCCTCTCAATGACCCTCATGTGGAATACGAGCGTCCATTCCTCAACTCAGGGCTTCTGTTCTGTGTGGTTTAGGGCTTCTCTTCCCTGGGCAACCCCACAGGCCCCTGAAGCCCGTAAACCTTCGTCCCCCCCAGCCCTAAAAACCCTTTGAGCCCCACAAGCCTAGAAAATCACCATATGCTGGTTACGAAAAGAAGGGGCCCTTATTTTTGACCCCCAAATAGCAGGATTCCCTTACACTAAGGACCCCAAGAATGTACCCCTAATTTCGGAAACCCCCCCATGTAAGCCCCTGCTCAGCCCTATACAGACCCTCCTACCTGCAAGATAATCCGACATTTAAAAGCCTTGAACAAAGCAATTAGAAAGCTCAAACCC